TCTTAGCGGTGCTCAAAGATTGTGTACTTCTGATGGCATCTGAAGGTCGGATACACCAGAGAATCTCGTAATGAATCTGATTTCGGGTCCAGGTATGCAGAACATAGTGACCGTAAACGCATGCCCTTGGAGGACAGTGCGGACAGACCAGCCACGGTTCATGAGACTGTCTGAGGCGAGTGTAATACACATCGAGACAGGCAGCAGTGCTTGAATCCTAGATATTAATAATGCTTTATCAAAAAAAAAAATTTAAAGAGATCATTTGAATGTTCCCTAAGGCATATCAAGGCAAATATAAATCGGCGTTTTAAGAACAATAAACAATAGGATTCCATATCAGTTCCACCGCAGTTGTGATTTTAACGCTGTCATTGTAGATCATGCCGCTGCAATGGTCCGAATCCGACTGCACAGATGGCAGCAGGTCGAATAGAGTGACCATTCACCCATAAAAACACTTACGCGTTAGCTATAAAAGAGCTCAAAAAATACCAAATTTCCATTATTCAGTATATTTGGTACTTAGTATTTAGTAAGTCATATTTCTAGTATTCGTTATTTTTAGTATTATTAAAAAGTTAACTCGATATCTTTCTTTGTTAAATCAAATCGCAAAACAGCAAAATTAAGCCAAGTAGCAGCGCTCTACTAAGACGTAACCATCAATACCTATGAGGACGGTTCTTTTACAAGTCGAACTTCGTTTTTGGCTAAATTTACTAGTCGGTAAAGAAGAAAACCGTGTATCAGGACTATGCAAAAAAATTATTTATTCTGTTACAATTTTTTAAAATTGCCAAAAAACATAAACGTCCCAATTTTATCTTTCTATCTGAGCTTAAGCCGAAGATCGTTGTCAGCAACGTCGACCCCGCGCATACGCCCGAGGACTTTATGACGATGTTATATAATAACAACTTCGTGGATTAGATGGACCTGGCGCAATTAAAGAGATTAAATAAACGATAAACGACACTCTATCGTCAATCGCAACCCTGTGGATCCTTGCGATCCCGATCTCGTGACGGACCTCTGACCGAACGAAATGATCGAGCTGTATATCGACGAAGATAGCAGAGATCTAATATCCCTGTAGTGCTCAAAGATTGTGTACTTTTGGTGGCATCTGAAGGTCGGATACACCAGAGAATCTCGTAATGAATCTGATTTCGGGTCCAGGTATGCAGAACATAGTGACCGTAAACGCATGCCCTTGGAGGTCTCAACGCAAGAAATTTGTAACGGCGCAAGTGGTCACTCGCCCAAAGCACCACTCGAGGATCAACGGACAGGAGTCCCTCTGCAGCAACGGGAACACCAACAGCCATCTCAATCGCCCAAGGAATCCATCGACAGATCCAACTCGCAGAACCAGACGATCCACCACAATCGGCTCACGGACTTGGAGGCCAGTCCGCAGGCTTGGCAGATTTTCTGCATCGATAGACCCGCAGAGCCAGGAGGATCCTGTAGGACACGGAAAATGTAATTTTATTTTGGTGTAAAAGAACTAGAACATTTTATGTTTTTACACAGCTAGAACATGAAAATATGAACTATTCGGAATCTAAACAGACATGCAGCAGTGCTTGAATCCTAGACATTAATAATGCTTTATCAAAAAAAAAAAAGTTTAAATAGATCTTTTGGATATTCCCTAAGGCATATCAAGGCAAATATAAATCGGCGTTTTAAGAACAATAAACAACAATAGAATTCCATATCAGTTCCACCGCAGTTGTGATTTTAACGCTGTCATTGTAGATCATGCCCCTGCAATGGTCCGATTCCGACTGCACAGATGGCAGCAGGTCGAATAGAGTGGTCATTCACCCATAAAAACACTTACGCGTTACCTATAAAAGAGCTCAAAAAATACCCAATTTCCATTATTCAGTATATTTGGTACTTAGTATTTAGTAAGTCATATTTCTAGTATTCGGTATTTTTAGTATTATTAAAAAGTTAACTCGATATCTTTCTTTGTTAAATCAAATCGCAAAACAGCAAAATTAAGCCAAGTAGCAGCGCTCTACTAAGACGTAACCATCAATACCTATGAGGACGGTTCTTTTACAAGTCGAACTTCGTTTTTGGCTAAATTTACTAGTCGTTAAAGAAGAAAACCGTGTATCAGGACTATGCAAAAAAAATATTTATTCTGTTACAATTTTTTAAAATTGCCAAAAAACATAAACGTCCCAATTTTATCTTTCTATCGATTTCAAGTGGCTTGCCGTGGACACCACTCCTGGAAAACGGCTTTAGTTTCAAAACTAAACTAAATTTGTGTTTAATTTTCTCCCAGGCTTATAATATTACTTGATAAATATATGAAGAAAATAATTTTTTACTTTTTTTACTAGGAAGAGGACAGCCGTCCTCCATACACGAAAGTGATGCCGAAGGATCGCCAATACGCAGTCGCCATCACCAATGAGGAAGACACCAATTGCGGCGACTACACTTGCGTCCTGCAATTCCTGCTTAAAGATTCCATATGGTTGGAGAAGAAGTGGGTTCCCTGCGCTTTAGCGACTGCATATCAGGGGAGCAGTTCGAATGCATATTCTACAATTGCTGCGAGCAACTATCACTATCGATAGAAAAATTTAGTAATTATACTATTACAAAAAAAAATCTTATATAACCCACAAAATGAAAATAGTCCTTGGCCTATACTTTCACTTTACTTTTAAACTGTGGTTTGTAAAATGTGCTGTTCATAATTTTATGACATAAGCGTCTTGCTCACTGGCATATGGAAATAGCCAAACCTATAAGTGTGATCGCATATTCACAAAATAATACATTAACTGTTTAAAAGGCGTTTAATTGATCAAAGAAAATGTGAGAATAAATCTAATCCAGGTGGAAAACTAATGAAAACAGGAATACTGAAAACTAAAAATGCGTCCGTTTGTTATATACATAATACTTTTGCACCTGACGGGGGGAATGAGATTCGTTTAAATACAAATTCTATATAATACTCACTGATATTCTTTTGAAAAAAATATGTAACAGCATTAACATTTGAAGGGAATTCAAAGGACAAAACTAATTTCACATTACAAACTAATTTTGTTACTCTCACATAATGACTGTTACTCAAGATAAGACATGACAACATATTGAGTGTGAATAAACATGTATGTTTTTATACATTAATAAATTTGTATTTATTTAAATCGTCTTCGGAATAAAAAATGGAAATTCCGCAATCAACACCAAATTGATTTGATTGATGTAAGATGTTCATTGGTAACTTTAATGGAGTGCCCGACATGCGAAGAGATTTTCCATCCGTAATTGAGGTGCTGAGTTGTAGAGGCACTAGATGAGCGGCGGCATTAGCAATGAAAAGATCGTAGAGGCCTTTGCACCTGTGAAGAAGACCACCCAACTGCTTACCTCGTCCACCAACTCTTCCTAGTCAAGCGAATCTACCCAGAATGGTGTCAGCAAGTCCTCCAATGGCAAGGAAAAGTCTCAAAACGATAGCTCCTGAAAAGAAAGGCCAGGAGGTAGCCGATCAGAAGAATAAAATGGTAGCTAAAAGCAAGGAAGTGGTAGCTCAAAAGGAAGACACAGAAGTTCCTTCCGAAAAGGAAGGCCGAGAAGAGACCAAAAAGGAACAAACAAAAAAAAAAGAACGAAAAAAATCAAGAACATTTTTCACGATTTGAGAACGATCCGTTCGCTATTTTGTGTTCATAAAAGAGAACACTGCGGTGTCAAATAAAGAACATTTATGTAAAATTATAAACGAGTCACGGAAAAATGCTTAGCTTTGAACGGTATGGGGTCATATTATAACACCGTTCTAAGATTATGAACACCATTCATGAAAACAAACAGGTTGTCGATACTCGAAAAGTTCGTTCGGTGGTCCAGCTGCTAGACCGTCCGCCTCTGCCAAAATTTCGGGTACATTTTATGAACAAGCGTTCGTGAATTGTCAACAAAATAGGCTCTAACTATTTACACAGAGGAGTTCACGCTACAGCGACCAAAATCCGCTTCATCCATTCCACGTGCACGCTACAACTCGCATCAACGGAAAACAGGACCGCATACGCAAAACGATTCAATAGTTAGTTTTTATTCAGTATTTTTTACGAGCTTAGGTGATTTTTGTACTTGGCGTTTCGGAATTTTTTTGCTTTGGCGCCGTATGAGAAAATTGTTGTTGGTGCAGGACCAAGGAGTCTTCCAACGACTCGGAACCCAGCAGTTAATCTCTATGTATGTATGAGGCGACATCTTCGGTGTCTTTGGTGAAGACTCAGGATGTTTTTTAGGGGTAGTAGTTTTTGGGGAACCCTTCGGTGTTGTCGGTGTCTTTAATGAAGACTGAGGCTCCGTTGTTGGGGAACTAGGAGCTTGAATCTGCTTACGGCCCTTGATATGCGCATATTTTTGTTTGACCAAACCTGCCACCCTTTTAGCGCTCCGCGGTGTCTTCGGTTGCTTGGAAGTGCGTGGGGTTTTTGGACTGCTTGATATATTCCGGGTTCGAGGAGCCCTCTCAGGGGTATCGGGAGCACGAATTGTTTTACGGCCCTTAATATGTCCTCAAGTCTCGGGTATTCGACCTACTAACGAAGAATTGCGTAAATCTGACTCTACGGATACCCGACGAAGGGTCGCGATTCTTGGGCTCTTGCGGATTAAATTAGTAGGCGTTGATGTAGCCGCCGGTTGTTCAGTCGATATGGAGGAGGCATCCTCGGGGTTTGATGAATACCTGCGAGTTTTTTCCATTTCGGCTGGCTTACCAAGAGAATATATATCTTTTGAATTCATTGTGAGTCGTTTTCAATAAATTAATAAATTTGCTAGTTCGAGCTTCGCCTTTTTCTTTTTTGATTGTCACGTCAAAAGTGATTATGAATTTAAAAGCATGGCCAACTAGAAAACTATTTTATGGGAAAATATCGGAAGCAGTACAGGTACTGCCAACAGTGCGGACAGACCACGGTTCATGAGACTGTCTGAGGCGAGTGTACTACACATCGAGACAGGCAGCAGTGCTTGAATCCTAGACATTAATAATGCTTTATCATTATCCACAGGGTTGCGATAAACGACACTCTATCGTCAATCGCAACCCTGTGGATCCTTGCGATCCCGATCTCGTGACGGACCTCTGACCGAACGAAATGATCGAGCTGTATATCGACGAGGAAAGCAAGAATCCAATATCTTAGCGGTGCTCAAAGATTGTGTACTTCTGCTGGCATCTGAAGGTCGGATACACCAGAGAATCAAGCAGCTGGCGGAGAAGGTTCGAAAGGAAATTGCTCCTGCACTAAGAGTCCGAGTGCATGAGGTCAGAGGATTGGCGCGTGGCGGTGCCGTTATTCGTACCCCGTCATCAGTAGAACTCAAGCGCGTGATGGCGAATAAAAATTTCGGTGAGGCCGGGCTTGAAATCAAGCAGACCCCTGAGCTTAAGCCGAAGATCGTTGTCAGCAACGTCGACACCGCGCATACGCCCGAGGACTTTATGACGATGTTATATAATAACAACTTCGTGGATTAGATGGACCTGGCGCAATTAAAGAGATTAAATTTAAATTAATTTCCCTAGAGAATACAGTGCAAGTGCCATAGAAAAACTGCTGAGAGGGTCTTGGTTTCGACCATAAGATTATGGACTGCAGGTACAGGTACTGCCAACAGTGCGGACAGACCAGCCACGGCTCATGAGACTGTCTGAGGCGAGTGTACAACACATCGAGACAGGCAGCAGTGCTTGAATCCTGGACATTAATAATGCTTTATCATTATCCACAGGGTTGCGATAAACGACACTCTATCGTCAATCGCAACCCTGTGGATCCTTGCGATCACGATCTCGTCACGGACCTCTGACCGAACGAAATGATCGAGCTGTATATCGACGAGGAAGGCAAGAATCCAATATCCAATATGGATATTCTCTAAGGCATATCAAGGCAAATATAAATCGGCGTTTTAAGAACAATAAACAACAAAAGAATTCCATATCAGTGCCATCGCAGTTGTGATTTTAACGCTGTCATTGTAGATCATGCCCCTGCAATGGTCCGATTCCGACTGCACAGATGGCAGCAGGTCGAATAGAGTGGCCATTCACCCATAAAAACACTTACGCGTTACTTATAAAACAGCTCAAAAAATACCCAATTTCCATTATTCAGTATATTTGGTACTTAGTATTTAGTAAGTCATATTTCTAGTATTCGGTATTTTTAGTATTATTAAAAAGTTAACTCGATATCTTTCTTTGTTAAATCAAATCGCAAAACAGCAAAATTAAGCTAAGTAGCAGCGCTCTACTAAGACGTAACCATCAATACCTATGAGGACGGTTCTTTTACAAGTCGAACTTCGTTTTTGGCTAAATTTACTAGTCGGTAAAGAAGAAAACCGTGTATCAGGACTATGCAAAAAAAATATTTATTCTGTTACAATTTTTTAAAATTGCCAAAAAACATAAACGTCCCAATTTTATCTTTCTATCTGAGCTTAAGCCGAAGATCGTTGTCAGCAACGTCGACCCCGCGCATACGCCCGAGGACTTTATGACGATGTTATATAATAACAACTTCGTGGATTAGATGGACCTGGCGCAATTAAAGAGATTAAATAAACGATAAACGACACTCTATCGTCAATCGCAACCCTGTGGATCCTTGCGATCCCGATCTCGTGACGGACCTCTGACCGAACGAAATGATCGAGCTGTATATCGACGAAGATAGCAGAGATCTAATATCCCTGTAGTGCTCAAAGATTGTGTACTTTTGGTGGCATCTGAAGGTCGGATACACCAGAGAATCTCGTAATGAATCTGATTTCGGGTCCAGGTATGCAGAACATAGTGACCGTAAACGCATGCCCTTGGAGGTCTCAACGCAAGAAATTTGTAACGGCGCAAGTGGTCACTCGCCCAAAGCACCACTCGAGGATCAACGGACAGGAGTCCCTCTGCAGCAACGGGAACACCAACAGCCATCTCAATCGCCCAAGGAATCCATCGACAGATCCAACTCGCAGAACCAGACGATCCACCACAATCGGCTCACGGACTTGGAGGCCAGTCCGCAGGCTTGGCAGATTTTCTGGCAGGACCTGCGCATCAATGCATCGATAGACCCGCAGAGCCAGGAGGATCCTGTAGGACACGGAAAATGTAATTTTATTTTGGTGTAAAAGAACTAGAACATTTTATGTTTTTACACAGCTAGTACATGAAAATATGAACTATTCGGAATCTAAACAGACATGCAGCAGTGTTTGAATCCTAGACATTAATGCTTTATCAAAAAAAAAAAGTTTAAATAGATCTTTTGGATATTCCCTAAGGCATATCAAGGCAAATATAAATCGGCGTTTTAAGAACAATAAACAACAATAGGATTCCATATCAGTTCCACCGCAGTTGTGATTTTAACGCTGTCATTGTAGATCATGCCCCTGCAATGGTCCGAATCCGACTGCACAGATGGCAGCAGGTCGAATAGAGTGGCCATTCACCCATAAAAACACTTACGCGTTAGCTATAAAAGAGCTCAAAAAATACCAAATTTCCATTATTCAGTATATTTGGTACTTAGTATTTAGTAAGTCATATTTCTAGTATTCGGTATTTTTAGTATTATTAAAAAGTTAACTCGATATCTTTCTTTGTTAAATCAAATCGCAAAACAGCAAAATTAAGCTAAGTAGCAGCGCTCTACTAAGACGTAACCATCAATACCTATGAGGACGGTTCTTTTACAAGTCGAACTTCGTTTTTGGCTAAATTTACTAGTCGGTAAAGAAGAAAACCGTGTATCAGGACTATGCAAAAAAAATATTTATTCTGTTACAATTTTTTAAAATTGCCAAAAAACATAAACGTCCCAATTTTATCTTTCTATCGATTTCAAGTGGCTTGCCGTGGACACCACTCCTGGAAAACGGCTTTAGTTTCAAAACTAAACTAAATTTGTGATCCTTTCTCCCAGGCTTATAATATTACTTGATAAATATATGAAGAAAATAATTTTTTACTTTTTTTACTAGGAAGAGGACAGCCGTCCTCCATACACGAAAGTGATGCCGAAGGATCGCCAATACGCAGTCGCCATCACCAATGAGGAAGACACCAATTGCGGCGACTACACTTGCGTCCTGCAATTCCTGCTTAAAGATTCCATATGGTTGGAGAAGAAGTGGGTTCCCTGCGCTTTAGCGACTGCATATCAGGGGAGCAGTTCGAATGAATATTCTACAATTGCTGCGAGCAATTATCACTATCGATAGAAAAATTTAGTAATTATACTATTACAAAAAAAAATCTTATATAACCCACAAAATGAAAATAGTCCTTGGCCTATACTTTCACTTTACTTTTAAACTGTGGTTTGTAAAATGTGCTGTTCATAATTTTATGACATACGCGTCTTGCTCACTGGCATATGGAAATAGCCAAACCTATAAGTGTGATCGCATATTTACAAAATAATACATTAACTGTTTAAAAGGCGTTTAATTGATCAAAAATGTGAGAATAAATCTAATTCAGGTGGACAACTAATGAAAACAGGAATACTGAAAACTAAAAATGCGTCCGTTTGTTATATACATAATACTTTTGCACCTGACGGGGGGAATGAGATTCGTTTAAATACAAATTCTATATAATACTCACTGATATTCTTTTGAAAAAAATATGTAACAGCATTAACATATTCCCTTCAAAGGACAAAACTAATTTCACATTACAAACTAATTTTGTTACTCTCACATAATGACTGCATTCCTCTGTTCAAAAAAATAAATATAAAAGCTTAAACGAATAGATTCACGGCTTACCGTCACACATTCTACATTATTATTAATAAAATTAATATTGTTATTAACTAGCACCAGTGGGAAAACACAATTTATCTAATTTCCCAAAAGCCGTAGAATTCTAGTTTCCTATATGGAACTGTTTATAACAACTTAAATGATTTCATGACAGTAAAATAGCGTTTTATATTTCCGCTAGAATCAATCATTAATAAAGGTGTTACTGTTGTGGCGAATATACTGCCATCGACATCACACTTCTGTGGACCTGCAAGTCCCTGTTTGTAGTTCGAATGACCTCAGCTTCCATCGAACCCATCACTATATTGAAGTTCGGCTATTAAAAAGTTTGACCCTTGATCTTTCATTATTTTCGAAACAAGGTTGTTTTTTGTTTGATCTCTAATTGAGATATATTGTTGCTTGGTTAAATTTTGATCTAAGAGAACAGCTAGTGCGTCGTTAACTAGTATTTTCTCCAATTTCGCGACGGGCTGACTTATTAAGGTGCGCATGCTCTTTGCTTTTTCAGGGCAGATAGCCAACAATTTTAAAATATATGCAAGATCTGATTTACCGCCCTTACGCGCAGCCGCACTTGCTAAATTTATTAATAATTTAATATTTCCAGCCGTGGATTTGATTAAATTTGAAACTACTCTTCTCTAAGCCCTTGCTCCCAATAACAAATAAGGCAATTTTGGCCTGCCTGTCGATCTCCGCCTGTTTATGCAAACCTCAGTGTGGGATGTAAGCCAAGTTGAGTACTTTCTTTTAAAATGATTAAGATTTATTTTGCAAGATGTCCTTTGCGGGACAATCTATAACAAAAAGCTTCGCTTTGTTTTTTCAAAACATCCTCATAAGCATCTGAACCAGCTATCGCAGCTCTTAATGTGCCAAGTATAGGCAGATCTTTGTCATACTTTTTCTCTCCAGAACTCCAAATCGCAAACAATTATGTATTTTCAAACCTGAGGTTGTGACCTAAAAGGGTAAATTGCGACGAAAGTGTTTGCACACTTTAGCATTCTTATGAACAAGAAATAAACTACCGACAACACAGTGTAAATATTAAGGTGAAACTCAAACATATAGTACAAACCGCTCTCTTTCGATGCCATTACAACTTGTTTGATAAAAACTTAGTTTGGTGCCGTTTTTGTTACGTAACATTGAAGTTTGATGTTTTCCCGACAACGACTTTCGAAAAATGGATTTGTGGCCCAAAAATGTGGTCAGCCAGCCTGTAGTGCTTTGTCCAAGTCTTTGGAACTTGACGCCAAAACTAAAACTCCCAAAATATTCACAATTTCTTCTTAAAAAATAAATTCTCAATGGAAGTAATTTTTATTTTTCTTGGAATCTATTGGCCACTGTATGCTTTAATTTCGGTTTAAATCGATTTCATGAGGACATTATGTTGAATTTTTTATACCAATACACCCGTTTTTATCATTTTATTATCCACTCCTATATATTGTCAAATATAAGATAAGACATGACAACATATTGAGTGTGAGTAAACATGTATGTTTTTATACATTAATAAATTTGTATTTATTTAAATCGTCTTCGGAATAAAAAATGGAAATTCCGCAATCAACACCAAATTGATTTGATTGATGTAAGATGTTCATTGGTAACTTTAATGGAGTGCCCGACATGCGAAGAGATTTTCCATCCGTAATTGAGGTGCTGAGTTGTAGAGGCACTAGATGAGCGGCGGCATTAGCAATGAAAAGATCGTAGAGGCCTTTGCACCTGTGAAGAAGACCACCCAACTGCTTACCTCGTCCACCAACTCTTCCTAGTCAAGCGAATCTACCCAGAATGGTGTCAGCAAGTCCTCCAATGGCAAGGAAAAGTCTCAAAACGATAGCTCCTGAAAAGAAAGGCCAGTAGGTAGCCGATCAGAAGAATAAAATGGTAGCTAAAAGCAAGGAAGTGGTAGCTCAAAAGGAAGACACAGAAGTTCCTTCCGAAAAGGAAGGCCGAGAAGAGACCAAAAAGGGACAAACAAAAAAAAAAAGAAAGAAAAAAATGAAGAACATTTTTCACGATTTGAGAACGATCCCTTCGCTATTTTGTGTTCATAAAAGAGAACACTGCGGTGTCAAATAAAGAACATTTATGTAAAATTATAAACGAGTCACGGAAAAATGCTTAGCTTTGAACTTTATGGGGTCATATTATAACACCGTTCTAAGATTATGAACACCATTCATGAAAACAAACAGGTTGTCGATACTCGAAAAGTTCGTTCGGTGGTCCAGCTGCTAGACCGTCCGCCTCTGCCAAAATTTCGGGTACATTTTATGAACAAGCGTTCGTGAATTGTCAACAAAATAGGCTCTAACTATTTACACAGAGGAGTTCACGCTACAGCGACCAAAATCCGCTTCATCCATTCCACGTGCACGCTACAACTCGCATCAACGGAAAACAGGACCGCATACGTAAAACGATTCAATAGTTAGTTTTTATTCAGTATTTTTTACGAGCTTAGGTGATTTTTGTACTTGGCGTTTCGGAATTTTTTTGCTTTGGCGCCGTATGAGAAAATTGTTGTTGGTGCAGGACCAAGGAGTCTTCCAACGACTCGGAACCCAGCAGTTAATCTCTATGTTTTTTTAAGGAAATGACCAACCTTCAGCTTATGGCCTTCTTGGGAGGTACTTGCAACTGATGCACCAATATAAAGGATGGTACGGTTGATGTCGAAGATGACATATTGAATATATTATAATTAAATAATTATTAAGCAAAACTTTATATAAATTGTCGTTAATACTAAAAAAAGAAAATTTTTTGTACTCATTTTAATAGAAGATACTAGCGTTCAAATTGTATTTAGTAAATCATCGTATTGCATTTTTTCGGAGCAATTGTATTTGCTCGTCCTCTCGCATCGGATACGATATTTTGGTATTACAAAATTCTTCGATTACTTAATACTTGGATCGATAAGTCATGAGCAAAATTTCACTCCTTTATGCTCATTCATTAGAGCTGGAGTAAAAATGGGAACCAGTATAAAAACTAATTTTAAGCTTTTTCCTTATTTGTTCAGCTCCTTGTAAAATCAACAAAAGTGATATTTTAGCGTCTTAATAAGTTCGTTGCGAGCCAAAAATAACGCTGCTTCTTAGAGGTTAAGACAAAACCGTATAGTAGCATTCAGAAATAAAACTCAAAGGCTTTTTGAAGAAATTCTTACCGGAGATGATAAAATGAAAAACATTTACAAGCTTTCTTTAGCACCAAAATATATTGTCAAGTCGTTTTAAAAGTGTCTGATTTCACGGCAAGCATACATTATTAATTGCTGACAGTTTTATACCTACTTTAGTCAGTTTTACGAGCTTCAAGCA